GGAGAGATCTCTTCCTGCGGTCCCCTTCTGTCAGCTCCACAGCCAGCTCCACAGCTCCTGACCGGAGGGTAAGCCTTCTGTCTGCATGTTTGGGCTCAAACTTGGTTTCCATAAGTAGCTTTCTTGGTTGCTTGTGGAAACAAAGGTTATGATCAATAGTATGATTATTAGTCATGAAGATTTACAGGTACAGCTCACCCTAGGCATTTCAGTTGGATGATTCTGAGCCCATTTTTAAATACTTAAAACACATCAAACAGTCACTGTCAGTCAAGTGTGCTGACATTTCACTTTTCAGACTCTTCCTTGTTGCATTCACTTGTGCTGTGACAATAATGTTGGTGTATTCATATGCTCTGCTAAGGTGAGTTTCTTTATGTGTGTCTGAGCCTGAAAACATCTCACAGTCAGCTACACCTTTAGTAACTGAATCCTCAACATCAGGTTTCCTATCAGGTTCCTGTGGATTTCTGTGTGCACCAGGAGACCCTCAGTGCAAATGTCTCCACTGAGCATGTTGACTTCCTGTTGGCCCGCCAGCAGTGGAAAAAGATGGAGCAGGAGGTAAAAGGACAGCCCATCCCCAAACCAGGGCTCACAGCTCAGGGGAGCTTTCAGGGCACCCACACTTCACTGTACCCCCCAACTCGCAGCCCCCGCCTCAAACACAGGTAGGAATTACTGCAGGTACTGAAAGCTTTGCTTTTCTCATTTTTGTTGATTCTTCAGATACCGATTACTGGCATTGGTTCAAAATTTAAATCCATGAATTTTAAGATTTTAAGCTTAACAACTTAGTTTTGAAACAAAAGTGTTTGTTTATACAATTTAAATGGCTTTATATACACGTTTCAATCAGAATATGTCCTGACTTGTTTCTAAGTGTGTCACTTGTTTCACTCGCTTGTTCACTGCATGTCAGACATTTGGCACAAATACGTCTACCTGTTATATAGACCTGTAAATGGCTAGAAATTCAGAAATGTCCTAAAAATGCAAACATTGTAATGCTTAGATGAGGAGGAAAGGTTTGCATATCAAAAGAGGAAGATACTGTAGGGTTGATGGAAACATTTTTGAGTGCACCATGACACAAGAATAAGCAAAGCAGTTGTGAATCAACTATGGCACAATAAAAAGAAGAGCAGGGGGTTAAAACAGCGGAGTACCAGGACCACCAGAGCGGGTCCAGATAAGGGTCCTTGTTGCATGTTAATGTCTATTACCATAGTTAGCAAATTAAAAGTGTTTAAATGTTTCTTCAGACTTATGCAATGGAAACACAACTCATGTGTCTTGTTGGCTTTTAGTTTTACCGTATCTTAGTTTAAGCTGTGGCTCCTCCTGTCCTCTCAAAGGGAAATCCATCCAGCAGTGCCCAGGGAGACCCCCCTGTCCTGCAACCTGTCCCCCAGTTCTGAGGACTCAGGCTTGGATGAATTAGCATACCGCAGCCCCCAGGAGGAGCCAGAAAGTGCTGTGGAAAGAGAGATCCGACTGACTCTGGAGAGAGAAGAAAGGCACCGCAGGGAGAGGGGCATGATTACACAGGGCCTGACTCTGCCCAGGTCAAATAAATACACCAGTTACCTGAGTTTTTTTCAGTCCAGTAAATGATCCTTCAGGCTTGTGACATTGCAGAAATCTGGTCAGCAGCATAATGCAGTCTTGTTGGTGCAGTAAACAGATATTATGCCCAAATCAGGAGTATTATAGATTGGGATTTGGATTTTCTGAAAACCTCTACTGTGTCTGTAAATGAGATTGAGCTAAAAGGGGCTGAGGGGAACTGCAGTTGTGACTTTTCCGTTGTTCTGTGTTCAGACCACCCACCCTACAGACAGGACGATCACCGCCCCGACCTCCAGCCAGCCGCACTCCTACTCTGTCCATATCTCCTTCTCCTTCTGGCTCATCTGCCCTTCCCCGACCTGTCTACCATGAAATGACAGCCAACAACGTCATCATCCTTGAGCCCGACTCCTCCAGTTCTGCCTCCAGGAACCGGCCACGGTCCTCCGCAATCGGGGGACTCTCTGATTGGCCTACTAGCCTGGATGCTGTGCCTTCTGCCAACATTATTGTTGTGGAAACCTCCAATCTGATCATTCGTAGTGCTTCCGAGTTCTGCCTAAGCTCGGCCCCCATGGCCATGGAAACGCAGGAGAGCACTTTCTCATCCAATCCATTTTTTAAGCTGCGCTCTCTTAGTAGCCAATCACTGGTAGAGCAGGAGATCAGGCTGGTGAGGCAGAGGGAGGAGGAGTGGAGGAGGCAGAGGGAGGAGATGTGGAGGAGGAGCAGAGAGGAGGAGTGGAGGAGAGGGAGAGAGAGGTACGATACTGTGCTGGTGTCTCCAGGCCTGAATGATAACATCACTTACGATGGTACGTATTGTCCATGGTGTCTAAAGAAACAAATGGGGACACATAGCAGAAGCATTTTTGTGGTGTTGTAGCTGATTCACTTCCAGTTTTGTGCCTCTTGTCCTAGTGCAGTGAATCTAAACTATATTTAAAATATCATTAACAAATATAATTCATAACTTTGCAGGTGATGGTGTGTTTTGCTCTTCAGTGACAGCTGGGAAATGCTGTTACCAGATAGAGTAACGCAGAATGAGTTTTTCCCTTCTCAGGATAATCTAATAAAATGAACATTTTGTTCCCCAATGCAATCAGTTGTCTTTCCTTTATTTTTATTGCAGTGCCAGTGGTCCCAGACAGATGTGTCTCCTCTCCTTCATCCCCCTCCAGGACCCGCAAAATGGAACGATCCAGTTTGTCTTGTGACCACAAGGTTTGCTGACACATACGCATACAGTGACTTCATTATAAAAAGATCAAATCATAATCCCCCATCAGTCTACACCCAACAGCACCTAATGGCAAAGGGAAAACATGTTTTTAGAAATGTTTGCACCTTTATCAAAAATTTTAAACTAGCTATGTTAAGTTATTGCTAACACAAAATAAACATTTCCTGCTGCAGCTGCTTTACATGAAAAGTTTTCTGAAGTTTTATTGTGAAGAACTTTCAGAAAATGCAATGTGTTTATCACCGCGGTTGCGGAACATCATTATCAGTTCTCGAAAATATTTTTGCACTGCCAGCATTGAAGCTATTTACAGCATAGAAGTATTGAATCTATTGAACACCGTTAAGGCTGCATTAATAAAGATTTTGTGGCCACATGGGGGCAGCACATGTGACTACAATTTTAATAGGGGCTATTAAAGTTGACAAGGAATGTGTTAGCAAACAGCTGGCTATTTCTTCACATCCAGCAGGCATTGAGTAGCATTTTCATTGATGTTGAGTTGTTTCGCCTTTCATAAGTATTTACTCTCTGTTCTGTTTTGGTCTCTGCTAATTCCTGAGAAAATATCTGGCTTTTTATCTGCTGAATGCTCCGCTATGTTCAATGTTAAAATTGGCTCACTATTTACATAAAAATATTGTAGATTGCAACTTTAATAGCATTTGCAGTACAGTACATCAGTGGGGAAATGTCTAAGATGAATCTTTTATTTATTAACAGTAATATTCACTCAATAATTTAATATCCTTACTGATTAAAAACAATCATGCAGTGTTTTGATTCATTGTGTTGTATTAGTGCATGACACAAAAACTATATTTTCACAGTTTTTCTTTAAAGTTTCCATGTTGGGTAATTGATGTCTTCCTTTACTCATTCATCCATTTGCTACCTTTTTTAATTGTGAATTTTCTGACTTGTTAACCAGTTAGACTGATAAATTTTTAAATTCATTAGTTCACAATTATGGTGGCGTGGTGGTTAGCACTGTTGCCTCACAGCGAGAAGGTTTCAGGTTTGAGCCCCGGCCGACCCTGTGTGGAGTTTGCATGTTCTCCCCGTGCTTGCGTGGGTTCTCTCCGGGCGCTCCGGCTTCCTCCCACAGACATGCAGCATAGGTTGACTGGTGTCTCTAAATTGCCCGTAGGAGTGATTGTGTGTGTGTGAGTGGTTACTTGTCTGTGTGTTAGCCCTGCGATGGACTGGCAACCTGTCCAGGGTGTACCCCGCGGCTGGCCGGGATTGGCTCCGTGACCCCATTTGGGACTAAGTGGTATAGAAAATGGATGGATAGTTCACAATTTAGCAAGCCTTTTATTCTGTTCATGTTTCATCTGCCATCACTTATGCATCCATCCATGCAATGTCTCCTGTCACCCTCTTTATTTTTTTCCATCAATCACCCATCCATCTGATAATCTATCTGACCATGAAACATCCACGCATCTTGGTTCCAGTGGTTTAGCTGAATCTCCCCCTCCCTCCAGTTCCCTCCTTCGCTCTCTTCGGTACCTCGACGACAGAATGCCATGGCACAGCGATGGGAAGCCTCGTTACTAGCCAATCAGAAGAAGGAGTGAGCAGTGTAACACTCACCTGTCAGCCATTTAAAAGCCAAAATGAAGTCCCACCCACCGGTTGCTCCCGTACTTTGTCCAGAAAAGTCACACAGCCCTGTCTTTAAAGTTATTATTTTGGGAACTACACTGAAAATATGTAACTTAGCATGATGTGTACTTTCCAAACGACAGGCGATGTAAGGTTCCAGGCCAGAGTTTGAAGTTCACTGCTTTGGTACGATGTTATAATGAGCCATAAATCAAAAGAGTCTGGATGCCCCAGATTTCTGTGTCAGTCACGCTGGCTGAGCAGTGCTAGCTGGTAAATGAATACCATTTGAGTCACAGCCACACTGACTAGTTGCTGCCTCTTCATTGGAAGAGGTTGGCTGTAGCCTAGATTAAGTTCAGAGTGCAGTTTTGTGGGCCCTTATCAAAGTGGAAAGAACAAATTTGTACTCTCTGTTGAAAATCTTTTAATCTCAAAGCTGAAAGTAATGAGTTCCTTTACTCATGCTTACTCATACAAGGAAGCCAAGAGCATGGATGCTTTTGACAAAAGCTGTTGATGCTCTACACAAAGCCAACAAGGGCACAACTTGAATGAAAAGCCATTAGTCAAGGCAGCACCCTTAGCTTCTGAAGAAATATGTGGTAACAACTGGTGACAGGAATCTTTTAAAATCCAATATGGATGCCAGAGAGTGTAAGCAGTAACTTTCAGCTAACATGCATAGCTAGCTAGCTGGACAGCTACTCTAACATTTCTACAGTTGTCACATTTCTTACTGGGATGAATTAATGGACCGTAAATCTCAAACTTTTCACATTTATTGGAATACACCAGTGGCAAAAATCCACTTTGATTCAGAACACACATTTAAATGAGATTCCATGTTTTATAGATGTCATTAGGCCTTCTGTATCTTCTATCAAAATGTTTTAGCAGTTGGACTGACACTCCCTGACCAAACTTTATCTGTGGCGCTGCTGTTTTGGCAAAATGATGTGAGCAGTTCTGAAAGAATAAGATATTTGAACACTACAATCTAATGAAGATTTTTACATATTTGTGTCTTGTTTTGATTTCTAAAAAGATATTTATTGTATTGTATTTTTGTGGCATATATTTATGAATTTATCTTATGAATCCTCACAGTTTTTACTTGTAAAAGATTTATAATCTATTATGTCAGAATGGAAGTCTGTCTTGTTTTTAGGAGATGGCCTTTGTGTGTGGTGGGTACCTGTGTGTGAGTGTACGATAATCCATCCTCCAAACATCAACTATACTGGGCTCACTTTAGAATGAGCTTGTTCACTGGTTTCCCCACCAAACTAAACTTGACTGTGGAATAAAGGTGCATTCAAGTTAACTCAGAAATGGGATGATTTTAACTGTTGGGGGGAAATGATTGACAAAACCACTATATTTTGATTGCGCTGTAAGCTTTGATGTATTTGCACTATTGTGTTACAGTATAAAATATACTATACAGGTCGAGACTACACAGGTAACCAACAAACTACATTTGTGCTGTGAGACACAATGCAACCTGAAGCTGTCTCTACACATTCTGAATGATGTAGCCTGGTTGTCGGTTGCTGTTTTCCTCCTTTTCAGACAGGCTGTAAAATAAATTTGCCACAGCGCACACTGTAAGAAGTTACAGAGAGACATTACAGTCCACATTCTGTGAAAAAATTGCTTTCCAAAGATCAAGTGAGGTTAATTTGAGGTTTCAGCAGGCTGAACTAGACAAATCAGTGGCTCTCTGTATCATGGCTGTGGGGTGCAGGTACATTAATAAGATTTATCAAGGCTGAATTTACATGGGAGATATTACGATCAAACCAAGCAGATGCTTATGCTTTTACTTCTTGCACAAAAAAAAATATATCAGACCATTTCTTCTGACAGTGTGCAGTCCTTTGGATGACGCTGGAAGATTGAGTGTAAGGTTATAGCTTGAGTTTATCATTTTTTCTTAAACTACCTAGTCCACATCTGTGTTAGAATCTTTGGTTTATATCCACTGTTTCAACAGTTTTGAGACCAAACTCCAGCTACTGCACAGACATTTTTTGAAAGGGAAACAGCTTCTGTCTCAGTAACAAACTACATGAGAAGGGAATTTTGTTTAAATATACAGTAACTTTGAAAGATACCCATTTGATTTAGCTAACGTTAACGTCACTTAAACCTCACATTATCTTCAGATGAATTTTGCCATCAAATTTTGCACAGAAAACATTTTGTCCCATTCTTCCATTCATGCTAAGAAGGGATCAATTCAGGCCCAGTATGGAGAGGAGGAATGAACAATGAACAGTAGCTGTTTTATCTACATATGGCATGTGAGTAATATGAGTACTGGATTCAGGCAGACTAGAACATACCTGAACCTATTCTTTAAAGCTCAAAGCTGTGGTGGATCAGGCTCTGAGATGTACTGAATGCAAAATGATAACTGCTACAATGTGTCAAGAACAGGGCAGGTTTAAAGCTCAGCATGTCATATTGTTACTGTGTTAGACTTAGCATATGCTAGCACATATTACATGCACAATACTGTATGATCAGTACTTGCCCAGTAATTTCATTGCATGCTATACCTGGTTTGACTTCAGTTTTATTTCGGGGCAATTTCTGGCATCAACTCTTTTAACTATTTAAGATACTTTAGTATTATGGAACACTAGTTTACTCTGGTACTGTTCACTTCTTAGTTTATTTGCTTTGAGTTTCAGTCATTTATTATTGCCAAATGAAAGGTCTGGTGATGACATCTTCAATAAATCATGCGACTGTTGAAAACCTACTTTTTGTGTTCATAGTATGTTTACCTCTCAGTAACCATTTTGGTAGTCAGACACCAACATTACACAAATGAAGTAATTATACCTTCAGTTTGCAGTGATAGCAGCATGTATGGGGTAGGTCTTCCACCAGCGCCTGACAGGCAAAACCCAGGGCTAAAAACATCTTATTTGTATTTGCTGCAGCTCTTTTGTCCTCCAATCTTCTGCCATCTGCATTGTGACATTATGACCCATGATGGACACTGTTCAGAGAGATTTAAATGAGTAAAGCAAATTGCAACTGTACAGTGGAAAGAATAAAACCATGCTTTGGGGCATCTCCCCATCTCCAGTGGAAACTATGCCCTTAAGTTTTGCAATGGGTGATTTTTTATATTTCCTATGAAACTAGCTGAGAAACTCGTGACACCAAAAGAAAAGTCTTTACTGTTAATATGGAAGTAGTAAATTACCACATACTGTGACGCTTAACCATGAAATTTTGATCTTTGCCTTTATTTATTTAGGCCAATAGAGTCCAGACTAGGCCAATAAATAAATAGATAGATAGATAGATAGATAGATAGATAAGACAAAGAACAAACTCCCTACAACCCTGTCGTAAAAAGTGCTTAGATCTTCTACTTAATGTCACAATGTATAAATACTTTGTTACATGTAAAGTCTGCACTGAAAATTCTTATTAAATAAATGTACAACAGTTTTAGCAACAAATATACTTAATGTACCAAAGGTAAAAATACGAATTACTTATTACTATCATAGAATGGCCCATTTTAACAATATATAATATTTACAATTGCTATTAATTTTTTTATTATTATTATTGTTGTTATCAATGTATACATATTACTAAGGTTGCAGCTGGCAAATATGGGTCTAATCTTAGCTACTTTATGTACTGCTGAGTGGCTTAATTCATAATAATACATCATCATTTATTAGTTTATTGCATTTTGTATTAAGAATCTGCATCTGCAAAGTAGCTAGCAATTGAAGCTGTCAAACGTAGTGGGGGTAAGAAGTACAAGAGTAGAAGTATAAAGTAACGTAAAATAGAAATATTCAAATAAAGTACAGTCCTCAAAAATCTATACTTACCCCCTTAAAGCACTCAGTCTACTGTAGATTGAGTAGATCTTCATAAGGTTGCACAAACACAATTATAGCATTTCTGTTGCTGATGGTGCTCCGAAGAGCAGGAAACTACAAACTATTCTCTTAATGCCCTAGGAACTGGAGGCTTCTTATGAACTTCAGTGATCATTTAAGGATACAATTTCATAGGCAGTATGTGTCCCACAGTCTTGATCTTGGCTTTGGCTGTTCAACGAGCTGAGCAGAGATAGTGGATGATGGAGACATGACATGCTTCATCTGGAAGGATCTTTTGCATATTATAGACAGATGAGCAGCTGGAGGCAGCAGTGCAGGCTGAGCTACTGGGTGTCACAGCAGGACACAACAACCTAAGAAGCTACTGACAGCTTCTACATGTCAGGAGGATTGGCCCAGCTCCTTCACTCCTCATCTGTATCTGAAACACACACACACACACTGTGAACTGACATACTGATAATGTTCCTGAACAATGCTGAAAACAAAAATGTACTGTAATAGTACTGATTTGTTACAGTTTATAAGCTTCATGTGCTAAATCACAGGTGATGATGGTGAGTCAGGCTGGATTCTTCAACTCTGAGGAAAAATATGTGGGCCTAGAAATATAGGCCTTTTACATACTGCACCAGACATTTAGACATGTCACAGTAGCGAAAGCACAGAGGTAAATCAATGAACTCAGTCAATGGCTGAATTCCATTTAGCTGCTTCTGGTCGTCGTATTGTTCATGCAACACAAAACATGGCACAAAAAGGCAAAATTTAATGGAATGTTTTACGTGAATTGACCAATAAATAATCTTTTTTTTTTCAATTAGGATGAAACAGGAAAATGCACTCTGATTTTGTCCAGTAGAAAAATATGTCCTATGTGATATTAAAATGACATTTGTAATGAAATGTTGCCTATTTCAAATTCTTTATTCACTGTGTAAGATATAGAACAATACAGAAACAGTACTAGGATTAACACTGACAGTTCTCACTCAACCTTGGAAACGGCAGCTGACAATACACAGATCACTTCTTTGCTTGTTCTTGAGCTTTTGGTTTTATCACATTTTTTATAAGTTGATGGTTTGCTCAGTTGTTCTAGAACCATAGATGTTAAAACTTTAAACTTTTCTGTTTTTTCTCGTCATAGAAACAATAGTTGTCAAAACAGTCCTTCAGCTATGTGAACAGGTTGAAAGCT